TAAGAGTACATGATTCATTAGAAAAGACAATAGTGCTTGTCAAGGGAGAAGACAGTAGGAAAAGAGGAAGCCATGACCCTCAGCTTGACTCAGGCAAGGAAGTCATGACCGCAATTAAACAACAAAGGACTCATATGAAAACCACAGGCTTTCTTAAATGAGGCACAAAGGATTAAGCTACCCAACCATCTTGACTACTGTTGTTGTCAAGCTACAGCATCTTCCTTCCCAAAAGTTATAGAACAATAAAGAGACTTCAAACAAGAAAAAAATGTTTTTTTCTTTATTTTTTAAACATTTTCCGCAGCTCCAAAGTTGCACAATGTCGAGGCCACTATAGGCTCCAGGATGGACCTAGCAGTGGCTGTACCTCAACTCTATAAAATCTAAACCTTTAATACATGTATCAACTTGATGTTTATGTGTAACTTGTATCATTTATGTACTATGGCTGGGAATTCTTAAAATGTGTCAAATGTATCTTGACGGCCACTACCGTCCTATGCCCTCAGTTTGCATAATCCCTTGGAAACAGAGGTCATGTCCAGGGTCCCTCCAGCTATTTCCCAAGTCAGACAATATCAAAACCTTTGTGTACATGCAAGACAAATTATCTCTTTTGAAGTGTATTACTTGTACTTGCATCCTATTTAGCCAAATTCTAATAAACCTCTGTAGCTTTGCCTTCATCTTGGTGTGTTTGTTCTCAATCTGAGCTGATCTGGTTTAGTAGAAGTTCACCGGGCATGGACCTCCTTATTCACTGTCCTAGCTGAAATCTCTACACTCTAAGGTCACAAGAAAAAAGAATCTGGGAAGAGTACAATTCTTGATTTTGCAATTCAAAAATTCAAACAAGGAATGCTTTAAAATTAATTGAATTAATGTTTGCTCCCACATTGATATATTCAAGTTCCCTCCCCACTTTGTTTAATCAAGAAAATGACAGAATAATTATTTAATTAGTGCCACAAAGTTACAAAGTAGATGACAAATTGGTAGGAATCTTGTGGCCTCTAAAACCAGCAAGAGGGCTTCTTTAAAGTTTAAAATGCACAACAATAAATTCTGAATTAAAACAAAGTAGTACAAGCATAGAATGGGAGACAATAAGAAGGGCATCCATGCAATAAGTTTCCACTGGGCCTCCCAAAATGATTTGGCCTTGTACAAATCTAAAGTCAAACTTACTAATTAACTCTCCACTTCCAAATGTGCTACCAATTGCAAAAAAAATCCTGCAATGATTGGGTTCTCTTTTCTTTATGGTAATAGTCAGTGCACCCCAATGCAGTAGAAGAATACGTCAGGAATATCTTTCCGAGATATCATATACAAGAGAGGTAGGCCCCTGCCACACAGCTATATAAAATCCACATCACACTGTATTGTATAGCAGTGTGGATTCAGATAATCCAGTTCAAAGCAGATATTGTGGGTTATCTGTCTTGATATTCTGGATTATATGGTTGTGTGGAAGGTCCCGCAGGGGGAAGTTTGACCTCCAGATTTTGCTGGATTGAAACTTTCATCATCCCTCACCATTGGTTATTTTGCATTGTAATCATGGAAATCACAGTCCAACATGAGGCCAGGCTTACATTTCTATTCCCTACTGTATGAAAAGAGTGTCAACCCTTGCATTGCACTGCTATCTTTTTCAGTGATAGTTATGAGTCCTTCTTTACATATGCCTTGTTTTCTGCCATCTGCAAACTGAAGTTGCTTTTTACCTGTACTTTCCCTTCTCCGTACTTGTCATATTATCCCCTATCCTTTTAAAATGTGTCTCATTTGGCCATCGTTGCCTAGTAAATTTTTGCTACCATTTGTGTTTGAACTGCTTCACTGAATTTTGGGGAAATCTGCCCGCCCAATATTGACGCACAATTGAGTACAGCATGGTTCTTTTAATCGTGATTCATAAATCAGCTATCTCCAACATCATTTCCAACTTTTCCTCCTTTGATTTCCACCCAACTTGTCAGATTGGTGGGATGAGCAGGGTGTGTATCCAGACTCAGTAGTACCTAACCTCTTTTTGAAAACACAGAGCAAGTTTCCTTGGATATGGTGCTAATTATGGGTCTTTCCTGCCATGTCACTTTTTTCTGACCATGTCTCCATGGTTCACATCTGGTATGAATAAAGCAAAGGTTTTCATTTTTGTTTATGTGCTTCATATCAGACGTGAAAACGTATCAATTCTTTCTTGTTGGCTCAGGTTTTCCAGTCAGGCTGAATCTGGCAAACCTTCTTCTAATCCCTTGTTTCATATCATTATGATCGTTTATCTTCATTTTTTTTTCTCTTGATGCTTTTATGTTCTTTCTTTGTCCAATGTTTCCAGTTTGGATACCTCCTTGAGCCACTGAGCCAACAGGTTTATACAACTTTTCAATCAACTTGCTTATGCAAACTCTTTCATAAGCTTGAGCGTGGATGAACCACCCACCCCATGCCAAGACTACTCTTTTTTCTTTCAAAAACTATAGCAAGGTGCAAATATGCAACTTGTTCTGAATAAAAAAAAATAAATGTAGTGAAAGGGATCTTTATGAACAAAACCAGGAACAGACCCATGATGTATAGCTGCCCATAAATGGTCTGGAGAACAAGCCCAGTGAGGAGCATCTTAAAGAGCTGGGTATGTTTAGCCTTTACATAAATTGCTATACATTAGATCACAGCTATTAACATAGGAAATTGATTTAAATTGACTCAGACCATTGGCCCATCTGGGATAATACCACTAAAATAGAATTCAACACTAATGGTATTAATTAAAAGCTACCAGTTAAAATCAGTAAAACTGATTTAAAATGTATTCAAAACTAAAACCACAGAACCCCTTGAGTTGACCTTAAAAACCTTCTTCTTCCAAAAGTCTACCTGAATACTGCACTCATATCCTGCTTGAATAATCAGTTTGGCAAAATGGCACTGGCCTTCTATGGTGGTGAGGCTGCAAAGGTTGAATTAATGGCAACAGTACAGCTATAAAAACTTTTTATCAGATGGGTTGTTGTAGGTTTTTTCGGGCTATATGGCCATGTTCTAGAGCAGGGGTCCTCAAACTAAGGCCCGGGGGCCGGATGCGGCCCTCCAAGGTCATTTACCCGGCCCTCGCTCAGGGTCAACCTAAGTCTGAAACGACTTGAAAGCACACAACAACAATAACAATCCTATCTCATCAGCCAAAAGTAGGACCACATTTCCCATTGAAACACTAATAAGTTTATATTTGTTAAAATTGTTCTTCATTTTAATTATTGTATTGTTTTAAAGTGTTTTTTGCACTACAAATAAGATATGTGCAGTGTGCATAGGAATTTATTCATGTTTTTTTCAAATTATAATCCGGCCCTCCAACAGTTTGAGGGACTGTGACTTGGCCCTCTGTTTAAAAAGTTTGAGGACCCCTGTTCTAGAGGCATTGTCTCCTGACGTTTCGCCTGCATCTATGGCAAGCATCCTCAGAGGTTGTGAGGTCTGTTGGAACTAGGAAAATGGGTTTATATATTTGTGGAATGACCAGGGTGGGACAAAGAACTCTTGTCTGTTGGAGCTAGGTGTGAATGTTTCAACTGATCACCTTGATTAGCATTTGATGGTCTGGCAGTTGTTTGGTGTGGCTTGTTGGTGCCTGGGACAATCTTTTGTTGAGAGGTGATTAGATGTCCTTGATTGTTTCCTCTCTGTTGTTGTGCTGTTGTAATTTTTGAGTTTTTTAATACTGGTAGCCAGATTTTGTTCATTTTCACGGTTTCCTCCTTTCTGTTGAAATCGTCCGCATGCTTGTGGATTTCAATGGCTTCTCTGTGTAGTCTGACATGTTGGTTGTTGGGGTGGTCCAGCATTTCTGTGTTCTCAAATAATATGCTGTGTCCAGGCTGGTTCATCAGGTGCTCTGCTATGGCTGACTTCTCTGGTTGAAGTCGTCTGTTCCTTGATTCGTGTTTGGGCAATGCTGCTACGTTTGGTGGTCCCTACGTAGACTTGTCCACAGCTGCATGGTACACGGTAGACTCCTGCAGAGGTGAGAGGATCCCTCTTGTCCTTTGCTGAACGAAGCATTTGTTGGATTTTCTTGGTGGGTCTGTAGATAGTTTGTATGTTGTGTTTCCTCATCAGCTTCCCTATGCGGTCAGTGGTTCCCTTGATGTATGGCAGGAACACTTTTCCTCTGGGTGGATCTTCATCTTTACTCTCGTGGCTTGTTCTTGGTCTTGCAGCTCTTCTGATGTCTGAGGTGGAGTATCCATTGGCCTGGAGAGCCCAGTTGAGGTGGTTCAGTTCATCTTGGAGGAGGTGGGGTTCACAGATTATTTTTGCACGGTCTGCCAAAGCTTTAATGGTGCTTCTTTTTGACTTGGGTGATGGTTGGAGTTTTTATGTAGATATCTATCTGTGTGTGTGGGTTTTCTGTAAACGGTGTGACCCAATTGTTGATCTCGTTCACGGATGACTAGGACATCTAGAAAAGGCAGTCTTCCTTCCTTTTCTTTTTCCATAGTGAACTGGATGTTTGGGTGGATGCTGTTAAGATGGTCCAGGATCTTTGTCGTTCCTCTCATGGCTTGTTCTCGGTCTTGCAGCTTTCCTGATGTCTGAGGTGGAGTCTCCATTGGCCAGTGATTCTGGCCATGAAAGAATTCGGCAATACATTTTTATCAGCTTTCCCTAAAAACCAAGAAAAAGTGTGGCCTTCATATCATGAAAAGCAGCAGAAAAGGCAACAATGCTTGGAAAAAGTAATACACCCAGGCTGCATCTACACTGTAGAAGTAATGCAGTTTGATCCCACTTTAACTCCCAGGGCTCAATGGTATATATAGCTTGGTGGAGCATCAGCACTCTGCCAAAGAAAGGTTAGTGGCTCAAACTGAGTGGAAATCGCGCCGTTACCATGGTGACAACAGCAGGGCACGCAAGGCCTCGCGAGAGTTACCCTATCATCTCGCTCCCTCCCTTTCTGTTCCTTTTTTAGGCTCCTTCTTAGGTTTGTCTCGGGAAGTTCTCGCGCGATCTGCTTGGCTTTTTCCCTGACGTCTCGCGAGAGCAGCATCTTCTTCTTTTCGGGAGCACGGCAAGATGGTAGGTTTCGCATCCGGGTTTGTTCTCAAATTGTTGCTGTCTCGCTAAATGCCCAGCTGGACGTTTCCCGGGGTTTCGAGATGGTTTTACTAGGCCTGGAGCCTTCTCTGCTCTTCTCTTTGGTGCCTCGCCAAACTACAACTCCCAGGCTGAGTCCATACAGCAGCCAGGCATGGCAGTTCACACTAGGCCCCTTCCGACATTGCTAGATATAATCCAGATTATCTGCCCTGAACTGGGTTATATGGCAGTGTAGACTCATATAAGCCAGTTCAAAGCAGGTAATGTGGATTACGTGTTTTGAGAATCTGGATTGTTTGGCAGTGTAGAATCATATAATCCAGTTCAAAGCAGGTAATGTGGATTATCAATTTGGATAATCTGGATTTTCCTGCTTCTTGGCAGGGGGTTGGACTGGATGGCCCACGAGGTCTCTTCCAACTATGATTCTATGATTGTTTGGCAGTGTAGACTCATATAATCCAGTTCAAAGCAGATAATGCGGATTATCTGCTTTGATAATCTGGATTGTTTGGCAGTATGGATTCATATAATCCAGTTCAAAGCAGGTAATGTGGATTGTTCGGTGGTGTAGACTCCTATAATCCAGTTCGAAGCAGATAATGCGGATTATCTGCTTTGATAATCTGAGTTATTTGGCAATGTAGACTCGTATAATCCAGTTCAAAGCGGGTAATGTGGATTACGTGTTTTGATGATCTGGATTTTTTGGCAGGGCAGACTCATATAATCCAGTTCAAAGCAGATAATGTGACAGATGGCTGGATGGCCGTCTGTCAGGGATGATTTGAATGCAACATTCCTGTTTCTTGGCAGGGGGTTGGACTGGATGGCCCATGAGGTCTCTTCCAACTCTTTGATTCTATGTGGATTATCCACTTTGATAATCTGGATTTTCCAGCTTCTTGGCAGGGGGTTGGATTGGATGGCCCACAAGATCTCTTCCAACTCCATGATTGTTTGGCAGTGTAGACCCATATAATCCAGTTCAAAGCAGATAATGTGGATTGTTTGGCGGTGTAGACTCATATAATCAAGTTCATAGCAGATAATCTTGAGTTATTTGGCAATGTAGACTCATAATCCAGTTCAAAGCAGGTAATGTGGATTAAGTGTTTTGATAATCTGGATTGTTTGGCAGTGCAGACTCATACAATCCAGTTCAAAGCAGATAATGTGGATTATCCATTTTGATAATCAGGATTTTCCTGCTTCTTGGCAGGGGGTTGGACTGGATGGCCCACGAGGTCTCTTCCAACTCTATGATTCTATGATTGTTTGGCAGTGTAGACTCATATAATCCAGTTCAAAGCAGATAATGCGGATTATCTGCTTTGGTAATCTGGATTGTTTGGCAGTATAGATTCATTTAATCCAGTTCAAAGCAGATTAGGTGGGTTATGTGTGTTGATAATCTGGATTATTTGGGCAGTGTAGAAGAGGCCTGGAGCACAATGGATGCAAATCTCTTGCAGCCTCCTAAATGGCTGAATTGCATGATGAAATGGCATCACAAACATCCAATTAGGCACATACCTAACTAAAATTTTAGATGACAGAGGTCCCTTTGACACAGCTGTCTAAAATCCACATTGAACTGGGATATAAAGCAGTGTGGACTCAGTTCAAAGCAGATATTGTGGATTATCTGCATTGATATTCTAGGTTATATGGATGTGTGGAAGGGCCCTTAGATCCATAAACAAAAAAATTAATAGGGTGTTAGGACAAAAACTTGAGAGGATGGTAATGTATGCGAAATGTTCTTTGGCCTGTAAACCCTGAAACCCTTTTACCAAGCTTTGGTTGTTTTGAGTGTTTTATGTTTATGTTCTTTTTTTAAAGCCTTCAAGACTGAGAAAGACAAGGAAGCTGCGGGGTCACGTCAGCCATGGCCACGGCCGCATTGGTATGTATAAGAGGGTAGTCTTTTTATTAGGATTGTGTTATTACTGATGTCTTGCAGTCTTCTGCTTTGGCCATTTGGTATGGTCATTATGTATGGCCAGCAAAAACAAATGAAAAGTGAGATTTGTTACATAACTCTTACCTAAGATTTTTGTTTAAAAGTTTTTAGTATCCTTCCTTGGCAGTGAAGATTAGACTTCTGAATATCACACTTCCTGAGGCTGATAGAATTGGGTTTAGCATGGCCTACCAGAAAGCAATATTTGCAAAACAGTCACCTAGGAAGCATAGACCAAACTAATAAACATGTGCCTTTTTTGCTGGAAAAGGTTTAGGAGTTTTGTTTTGTTTTAAAATGGAAACTCAAATGCCACCTTTATTTATTTATTTTTATCCCGCTTTTCTCCCATGGGTGGGACTCAAAGCAGCGAAGAATGGTCATTGCCAGTAAGCCCACACTTTGTCATAAACACTAACAGAACTATCCCATGCATGGTCCTAAAATATGCTAACACTACAGATTTAGACATTTACTCCTAAGTACTAAGCAAGATGGGATTATTCTGAGTGAACATGTACAGACCTGTACTGTATATTGCAGGATTGCTCCTTAAATCAGTGTGGGTGAGATTGCAGTCTTAAAGTTCCCTAAGCATGCTGACTTTGGCTTATAAGAATAATGTTACACGTTTTATGTTAGTATATTTGTCCTAACACAAACACTGTAGAAAGCTGCCCTACAAAGAATATGATGTGATGGCTCTTCTCTGCTGGAGAGAAACTCTAGGGATATGTCTCACTCAGAGACATACCATAGAAAGCTCTGTTGATCCGTATTTATCACTAGTATTTCCATCAGCAATATGTTTTGTAATGGGACCTACTGAGTGCTCTTAGATCCAAACACCTTTATACACTCAGAAGACCCCTGTGCTTCCCATCTTACCGTTATTTCCCCATATTTGCCATCTCCCCACCCATTCCAATCATCAGTATCACAGGTGTAGTATAAGTTCAAGAATGAGCCAGCCTGGTATAGTAGTTTTGAGCCTCACACTACAGCTCTGGAGACTAGGGTTCGGGTTTCCACTCAGCCATGGAAATCCATTAGGTGCTCTTAGGCGAGTCACACACTCTCAGCCTCAGAGAAAGGCAAAGCCCATCATAGAGTCACCATAAATCAAACACAAAACAATATTACTGGATATCAGCTTGTTAGTTAGTCATTGTTGCAAAAAATTGTCATTATCTTTTAATTTTTCTGATAGGTAAGCACAGGAAACATCCTGGAGGGCGTGGAAATGCTGGAGGCATGCATCACCACAGGATAAACTTTGACAAATAGTAAGCTGTACTTTTTTATATCCTGTTCTGTCTTTCATCCATTGAGTTCCTCACTTTCCTTCCCCACCATTGATTTGGATAGTAATTAATTTTGTTTAGTGGCAATTTCTTTATATGCATAAGGAAAAATGTGTTTTATGTTTATGTTTTCAAATACTGAACTATATTTATGAAAGTATATATTTAATCAGGGCAGTAGTTGGAAAGCTCAAACATATATCCCTGAGAGCTGATTTAGTCATAATATCAGAGGGAGTTAAGTGTGTAAATACATGCAGCCCCCAAGTTACAAACAAGATAAGTTCTGTAAATTTGTTCTTAAGTTGAATTTGTTTGTAAGTCAGAACAGGTCCATTTTTAAAGTGTAGCTGCAACCAAAAATACATATATTTTAGCTTTGGATAGCATAGGCTATTCAAAGCTAAGATAGCATAGGCAAAGGTTACTATGCTATACAAGGATTACTACAGCACTTTTTGGAAAGATCTAAAACCTTGGCTGTTTCTGCAGCATTTGATAATGTTTAAGATTGCAATCAGACTACTCTCTTTAGCCAGGGAGGGCTAAATTGATTGTATGGATCTTTTAATTAACAACGATTGCCATTTTTATTTATTCTATTGCTCTTGTTAATTTTGTGCTTGGCTTTAAATGTGGTATTGGTTTTAATGTTGTTATATTGTATTTTATATGTTGTATGGCACCATTTTTGCTTTGTAAGCCGCCCCGAATCCAGGAGATGGTGGCTGGGCACAAATAAAAGATGATGATGATGATTAGCATCCCTGGTGTGCTTGTTTTGCTGTTTGTGCCCGTTCGGAAGATTTCACCTCACTTGTTGTCCCTGATAGTTTAGATTTTGAAGAAATTGGTTTGTTGTGGAAACAAGAATTGGTTCTAAAGCTTCAGTTGATGCACCTTTTCCCCGTGATAACTCTTCCAAAAGTGACTTTCACTTCCAAGGGGGAGATTTCTCTCACTTTCTGTTGTCTCACCCCCATTCTTAACTACAAGTCAATTGTAAGTCGGATGTTTGTAACTTGGGAACTGCCTATATTTATTATTACTTATTTACGCTATTTATACCCCACCCATATCAGCCCGAAGGTGACTCAGTTTGTTTGTAGATAAAATTGATGATGAAGTCAATAGCAATCAGAGAAAATTAAATGGATAGTATTCCATTGCTTTGCTTGGCATCTGTTAAAGACAGCCTAGGCTGTCTTGGTTGCAAAACCAAACTGGAAACCAAATTAGAAGGATCCAAATAATTTTAATCAGGGATGTGTTTTCAATGATGCTATTATGCATATTGTTTTCAAAATGAATTATTCATTTTATTTGTTCATACAGTATGCTTTCTTTCTAGCCATCCCGGTTATTTTGGAAAGGTTGGTATGAGACACTACCACTTGAAGAAGAACCAGCACTTCTGCCCCACAGTTAATTTAGATAAGCTCTGGACCCTTGTTAGTGAACAGACAAGGCTCAAGTATGCCAAGCATCCAGCTGGATTAGCACCTGTTATTGATGTTGTACGCTCGGTAAGTTTCTCCAGGCATGTGTTTTATGCTGAACTTGTTTGTACAGACATGCAGTTCTCTTTTTGGTCCCTAATAATTTCAAAGTTAAGGCACATTGCATTTTTTTTCCTTGGGTCATAAAGTTGTGTGAGCCCAGGATGGGAGTTGTAGTTTTACAAGATCTTTATCATTTGCCAGATTGCTGGCGCCTCACTAAATTATAACTCCCATGGGTCCATCGCATTAAACCATGGCAGCAAAAGTGGTGTCAGACTGAATTAATTCTACAGTTTAGATACACCCAAGATCTATACAAGCTTATGTTACCTACTGTGTTCTTTATTAGACTATTAGGGGGTAAAGTTATTTAGTTATATTTTTAAGCAAATGTGTGAGATGTAAACACTTTTACACGAGACTAGCGCAGTATCATAACATCTCGTTGTTATGGTGTGCTTTGTTTCTCGGAGAGAAATTCCAGATATGACTGGCTGTGATCTCAAGTCTTGTACCACAGTCCATGGATATCAGTGATATTAATTAGCTCAAAAGAGCATATCCTGGAACATGTATGAGGTTTTAATATTGCTTGAAAAACTCTTGGTTTCAGTGAAGAAGGCTTGTAACTTAATATTCACAAACAGCATAGGAGCATGTGTTCTTGTATTCTTAAGCTTTGCTTTAAAACTGATAGAATAATTGGGTAATAATGAGGTACTGGGTGATGCTTATTAGTACACATTCAGAATAAATTAAAAGACTATACCATGTATCAGTACAATCATGAGTTTCATGAGGAGCAGAAATATACAGTTTAGAGTCTTATCCAACATAAATTGGCCAGCAGAAAATTGGATAAGAGAAAATGTTGACTAATAAGGTGGGATTAAATGTCAAATTACGTTATGATTTTCCAAATTAAGCACCAAAACATCATGTTTTACAACAAATCGACAGAAAAAGCAGTTCAATACACAATAAATTTATGTAGTAATTACTGTATTTATGAATTTAGCATCCAAAATATGTGGTGGTTATTGTTTTCTTATCTTTTCAGGGATATTATAAAGTTCTGGGCAAAGGAAAGCTTCCCAAACAGCCAGTGATTGTGAAAGCAAAATTCTTCAGCAGAAGAGCAGAAGAAAAAATAAAGGGAGTTGGTGGAGCTTGTGTACTGGTAGCATAAGGCTTTGTGTCTGTTTAAGTTCAAATAAACATTATTTGAGATTTCTGTGTCCTCATTTTATTTAAACCAGTAAGTGGCATTTCTAATTCTAGCACATTTACTCCATATAATCTCATATTTGTACACAGTATTATTTCAACATGGATTGGGGCAAAAGATGGTGCTTGGGCCTTTCTGGTGTCTTAAGATTTCTTTTGCCCTCACACCTGTGTTGAAAAAGAGTTGAACTACCCTGACCATTGCTGCTTAAAAGTTTTCTTCATTGGCTTAGCTCTGCAGGATTCCTCTCCTTATGCTGCCGTCTAGAAACTATTTAGGGACTGATCATCCATTTTCATTGATATGGCAACTGATCTATAGCTTGCAGTCCCTTCCCAGATTTACCAGTTCTTTTGCCCAATAACCAAGGATTGTCAACACTTGGATCAGCTTGTCCAGGTCTGTTTGTCTAGTTTAGGTCACAGGTCCAAATCAGGGGAGAGCGTGCATGAGCTCCCTCTATCAGCTCCAGCTCCCCATTGCGGGGACATGAGAGAAGCCTCCCACAAGGATGGTAAAACATCCTGGCGTCCCCTGTGCAACATCTTTGCAGATGGCCAATTCTCTCACACCAGAAGCGACTTGCAATTTCTCAAGTCACTCCAGACACTACAAAAAAAAAATTGATCTATGAAGTATTAAAAATACAGGACATAATTTCAAATGAATCAGAATAGTGCCATGTTACCGTATGATTGAAAAGTGATGATTTAAATATAAACGTGTACCCTACTGACAAAAGAATTCTCATGCCTACACAATTATAAGCGACAGCTTTAACATTACTGCAACATTTTAATTACAAAGTCTTTCCAAAACCAAAAAAGGCTATTTGCAGGGTTTATACAATCCATTGTCTACTGTAAAATCTCTAAGAAATGAACTGGAAATTCATAAAATCTTATTTCCTGCTGGTCCTTAATCCCCTCCTATGAGGTTTACTGTGGACTGATTTATTTTATTTTCCTATAGAAATTGGAAATGCATCTAGTCCCATGTTCTGAAAGTTGGGGATAAATTCAGCATCCTTAGAAGCCTCATTTAGGGCTTGCTTTTTATTTCATTAACAAAATGCAATTTGGGCCTGTAAGCATTCAAATCCTATTTACTCAAAGGGAAATCCAACACAGATTTGCTATAAGCAGTGACTCCTTTCTATTTATGTGTTCTTAATGTGGGTAGAATTCAGCCATAAAGGGGGGAAACCAGTATCAGCAGGAGAGTCCCATGTTCCTCTGTCAGGATCCAGTTTCCAGGCCCTCAGTTTTGGCGCTGAAAACTAGGATCCTGATGTAAGACTTTGATAAGAACTCTGCAGCTGTCGACCTTGGAAGACAACGGTTTATAGTTTGGCGGGAACATTGCGCAGGGTTTTCCACTCAGCGGGAATTGTACCTTCAAATGAGGGGGGTGTATATAAGGAGTAACCAGCGGCTGCTGGTCGATCTCAGCTTTTCATGTGTTCATGTATCCAGTAGTAAAGATTCTCTTTGATAACGGATCTAGGTCCTGTGTCTTCATTGGGAACGGCTGCTGTGAGCTGACCTTCCTCCCTCTTGTCTTCCATAAGCCCCTCCAGATATGTTGAATTTGCATCTCAATATTTCACAAAGGAGATACATTTTGATGTTTCCAGTGGTCAATATTTTTCATATGGTCAATCAGGATGATTTTTATTTTATGTCAAAAGCATTGCATAAATAAATAAATATAAAACAGAGAAAATAAAGCACAAGCTAAATAATTTGAAACCAAATGTGGGCAACAGCAACCACATTGTAGCTTTTAACAACTGCTCTGTGCATGAGGCAGGGCACTGTGAGCAAGCTACAGATGCCTTGCTTTTGGGAGTGCTTAGTATATACTTACTAAAATATGTATTTTATTTTGATATTGTATATTTTGCTGACTATGGGCCAGAATGACGTGGGTAGTTTATGTCACTTTGTTTTTGCAATCTCCTTTGAGAAAAGATAATACAGTTTGCAAGACAGATTTAAAAAGCATTTCAAAACTCACAAAAGGTGAAATATAAAACTTTTATGTATTCAATAAACTTGAGCTCTAAAATTGGCATGATTTCACATCAATATTACAATAAAATGGCCTTATGTTTAAGGAAATTAAAAAATGAAGCCCTGAATACATCAACAAGAAGTGTCAGCTGCTGCACAATTTGGACTTGTATACTTAGATCTTGAGAAGCAAACAGCATTTTCACTTGGACTTGGGAGTGACTGAATACTTCTCCTTGATCAGAAATAAATAAATAAAAGGAGTTCTTTTAAGCATTTACAGTGCTATCAGAAAGTGGGAGAAATAAATTTCAGCATACCACAGCAGGACCCACTTGTGTTGTCTTCCACAAGGTAGCATGGAATATATTGTGCAATACGGAAAAGTTGCATGATGCTTTATGGCCACTGATCTCATGCAAAAGCCTAGTTGGAAAACATTACAGAATACAAGTGAGCTGAAACAGCTGAGAATAATTTCGGTCAATACCACAACTCAGAACCATATCTTCCATGTCATCCTTCAACTTCTCCAAGCAGGAAAGCAACTGCAGCCATCCCACCAGATGTGTGGCAGATGTGGACCTAGTCTTCAGAGGCATGAATAAAATGGGGCCAAACTTTGAAAGAAGCATGATTAAGCAAGAAACTGAAGTACTGTAGACTTCTATGAACATGTAAACATGATTTAACTGTTCACCTGTTTTTAAAGAAGTCTTAACACATGGAATTAAGTCAATCTTGGATAGAAATATTCTCTAACGAAAGCTTTTCTGTTAATCTGTGACAGAATGATGGTTCTGTCCAATGACTGGCTTTTTTGTGTTAAATCTTCAGCCCAAACATATCTTGTTCATATTTCTATAATGAGTCGATCTTCGTCGTCGCTGCTACTTACGTTTTCATATTCCTCATGGGTTTGCTTGTTAATCATTTCCAAACTCTGTTTTTTATAAGCTTTGGACAGCGTGCCTACAGAATCAGGTTCACAAACCTTCTCAAGATGATCATCCAGTTTAATGGAACAGTTGTTCTCCTCTTGTCTGTGAGGGCGAAAAGTACTGCTTGCTTCTCGCATTTGCCTTGGTCCCAGTAAGGAATCATCAGAAAATGATTTCTCAAGAAGCATTCTTGATTTCAGTGGAACAGGACATGGACTCTGGAAGATAGGCTGCTCCTTTAAAGATGGGTGAAAATTCTCATCTGTGGATTGTTTTCTTTCTCCCATAACATGGTCAGATGACTCTGACATAGTGAAATTTTGAGATTTCGATTCTATATTATTGCTATCCGCCGTTGAGCCTATTAAAATAGGGCTAGTCGCATGTGAACCTGTAACATTATATAGATGGGCCTTGCTTGTGTTTATATATTCCAAGTTACAGGGTCCAGAGGAAGGCCAACCCTGATCAAAATTGATATCTGGTTGAGGCTCTGTCTGAAGAACTGGAGAGCAAAGCTCTTGACTTCTGGCTTTTTGTGTGGGTGCATTACTGGCTAATGAATAGGAATGCTTTGCTGTTGGTACATCTGAAACTCTAGGAATTTTCTGAGGAGAAAGGCTGCCACTTGAGTGTTCTGTTGTAATTCCAGAGATATCCTACCATAAAGAATAGAGAGGTGGTATTATAAATTCACCTAATATTATGACATGATCAAATTCAAGAAATAGTACATATTGTGGAAATTAAATAAGATATTGATCTGTTTATGTCTATGATTAGCTTATATTCCTAAGGATAGATTCATGGGTGATGTTATCAAGGGCTACTTGCCTTCAATAACACTAAGTAACAAAATTTGAGAAATTTTCAGTTCCTGGTTTGAAAGTATTATTTCCTGTTTAATTGTGAGGTACTTAATTTGAAAGTAGTTGTTATAAAAGATCTTTGAGTCCTCATGGACAACAAGTTAAACATGAGCCAACAATGTGATGCAGTGGCAAAAAAAAAACCAATGGGATTTTGGCCTGCATCAATAGGAGCATAGTGTCTAGATCCAGGGAAGTCATGCTACCCATCTATTCTCCCTTGGTTAGACCACACCTGGAATACTGTGTCCAATTCTGGGCACCACAATTGAAGGGATATGTTGATAAGCTGGAATGTGTCCAGAGGAGGGTGACTAAAATGATCAAGGGTCTGGAGAACAAGCCCTATGAGAAGCAGCTTAAAGAGCTGGGCATGTTTAGCCTGAAGAAGAGAAGACTGAGCGGAGACATGATAGCCATGTATAAATATGTGAGGGAAAGTCATAGGGAGGAGGGAACAAGCTTGTTTTCTGCTTCCCTGGAGACTAGGACGTGGAACAATGGCTTCAAACTACAAGAAAGGAGTTTCCATCTGAATATTAGGAAGAACTTCCTGACTGTGAGAGCTGTTCAGCAGTGGAACTCTGCCCCGGAGTGTGGTAGAGGCTCCTTCTTTGGAAGCTTTTAAACAGAGGCTGGATGGCCATCTGTTGGGGTGCTTTGAATGCAATTTTCCTGCTTCTTGGGAGGGGGTTGGACTGGATGGCCCATGAGGTCTCTTCCAACTCTATGATTCTATGATTGTATAATTCCAGAAACTTTGTTTTTGTGGCTGCCACAAACTATGTTGAATTGGTTGAGACTCTACAAGACATTCCTTGAAAAGCTATAGCAAAATGTGCTATGGGATGTCCCGCAAAAACAAACTTTTTGCAGTTTAATAAACCTTTTCCATGTTTTTATGAAAGAACCAATTAGGAAATGACGTTTATAAACCAGGAACAAAAATCGTGTTACACAGTGTAATATCCTCCGAGATGGCTGCACATTACCATTGTTATTAGAAGCAGTATGCTTCTCAATGCCAGCTACAAGGAAATGTAAACAGAAGGTTGCTATTATATTCATGTCCTCCTTGTGGGCTTACCAGAAGCATTTGACTGGCTGCTTTGATAACAGAATGCTATATGAGACAAACATCTATTCTAACCAAAAACAAGTCTTCTGTAACACTTAAGAGCTCATTCACAGCCCAGTGCATTGGATAAGGACCAATCCAGCCCAGTTATTCTAGAAGGGACCCTCTTCTGTCACTAAACTCAGTAGTAATCCTGCAAAAGTCATCAATATTTTTATAATTCTGCTGGCTTATCACTTTCTGCTCTAAGTCTGCCCCCTTGTCACTGAGTCTTCTCCTTCCAAGCTTCTCCTGGCACAATCCTCTTCTACATTCTGCAGACACTCTTATTAGGGAATCTTCTACACCAAAAACCCCCTCCCAATAACTAGTGGCATTGGTGAATGACTTAATTAATCTCCTACATGTCCATTCAGATTATAGCTTTCTGTTCATGTTAATTGAGTTATAAAGAGATGTAAGTGCTGTCTATAGATTACTCCTTACTTTTTCCATACTATTTTTTTCTACAGAAGAACCTGCTTCTTCAGAAGCCTCCTGTGGAATTTCATCAATTCCTGTTGGGGAAGAAAACATTGGAATAAAATTGATTAATATATTTATGCAGAGTTTTTGGGTTTATTTTTTATTTTTATTTTTATTTGCTTTACCCAGCTTTTACGAGAATTGGGTAAAGACAATAGAATTGAATGAATACTTCTATTTGACTCACAGTAAATGGCTCCCAACGACTCAAGATGTGTTTGAATATTACAACTTTATTCTAACAGTGCAGTGGAACAGTCTAAGTTGACATCCCTGCCTAAAGATAGCCTTTGAGTTTCATAGCTGGGCAAAAATCTAAAATATTTTATTATGCTGAACCACAATAATATATACCCAATACTATACGTTTGATATGCTTTAATTATGTGGTATTAAAGTATATGTTGTTTTTATTCTATATATGTATTTATGGCATCAAATTGTGCCTTTTTTGTGAGCTGCCCTAACTTCCCTTTGGGGTGAGAAGGGCGGTATATAAATGCATTAAATAAATAAATAAATAAATAAATAAATAAATAAATAAATAAATATTCTGGCCTTACTTAAGTATATTACCTTACATAGCTGTTGTTATGTACCTTCAAGTCATTTCTGACATATTGCGACCATTATTATTATTATTATTATTATTATTATTATTTATACCCCGCTTTATCTCTTCCAAAAGAGACTCAAAAGCACTAGCATACAATTTAAAATATACAAATATGCAAACATTAAAACAGAATCTATATATATAAATTTGTTAGGGGCATCCAACGAGGAAACAAAACTCAAAAACCCCCCAACGAAACTTAACCAAAATTCCCATGCCCATAACACAACCCACAAGGTACAAACATATCTACTCAAAATGAAAAACAACACAACAACACACTCACAAAACGGCAAAAGGATAAAACTCTAAAAAAACAACGAAACTTAACCAAAATTCCCATGCTCATAACACAACCCACAAGGTACAAACATATTACTCAAAATGAAAAACAACACAACAACACACTCAAAACGGCAAAAAACAAAACTCAAAAAACCCCAACGAAACTTAACCAAAATTCCCATGCCCATAACACAACCCACAAGGTACAAACATATCTACTCAAAATGAAAAACAACACAACAACACACTCACAAAACGGCAAAACAACTGAGCATGCACATTGGCGCCCAGCCGCAAGTTCCCTGGCGCGCGCACATGCCCTTCCGGCCAACGTTCCCTCTGCGGAAACCATGCCCACTCCAAGCCCCGCCGCGCCGCTTCCCGCACACACACACACCCCTGCCGCACATACACACACAACCCCACACTCCATCACTCCCCCCGCCGCCGCACACACACGCAACCCCACTCCCCCCGCCGCCGCACACACACACGCAACCCCACACTCCATCACTTCCCCCGCTGCCGCATGCACACACGCAACCCCACTCCCCCCGCCGCGCACACACACACGCAACCCCACGCTCCATCACTCCCCCCTGCCGCCGCACGCACACACGCAACCCCACTCCCCCGCCGCCGCACACACACACACAACCCCATCGTCCGCACACACACACACAACCCCATGCTCCATCACCCCCCCCCACCACCGCACACACACATGCAACCCCACGCTCCATCACTCCCCCCACCCCCACACACACACGCATACCACCCCTCCCCCACCCCAATCTTACCTGCTGGTGTCAGGACCCACGGGGGGGGGGGGCCCCTTCCCCCCCTGTCAAAATCTAGGAAAGACAGGAAGGAAGGAAAGAAGGAAGAAAGAGAAAGGGAGGTAAAGAAAAAGGGAGAAGGAAGGAAAGTTAGAGAAAGAAGGAAGAAGAAAAGGAAAGAAAAGGAAAGATGGAAGGAGAGAAAAGAAGAGAAAGAAAAAGGGGGAAGGAAGGAAAGAGATAGAGAAAGAAGAGGAGAAGGAAAGATGGGAGGGAAGAAAGGAGGGAAAGAAGGAGAGAAAGAGGGAAGATTGGCCACAGCAACACGTGTCTGGTAAAGGTTGTTATTTCTATTATTATTATTATTATTATGCTATTGTTCCTATGAGACCCTGGAGGAATGGGAGAGGTGTCAGGTCCCAGAGGCAATGCATTGCATTATTGTTATTGTTATGATGGTGGTAAAATAAAAGGAAATAAAAAGTGAAAGAAGGAAGCAAACAGGGAGGGAAGAAAGGCAAAGGAAGAAAGGGGGAGGGAATGAAGGAAAGAGAGAAGGATGAAACCAAGCAGTGAAAGAAAGAAAGAGGTAGAGAAGGAAGAAAGGAGAGAAAGGGGGAGAAAAAGGGGGAAGGAATAGGTAGGTACCTCTCTTTCATAATAGTCCAGATATCTACCTCAACTTTGATAAGTTTTACTATAGGCCACAGCAACGCGTGGCAGGGCACAGCTAGTTAAATATAAAAAGTTAAAGGTTTTCCCTGACATTAACTCTAGTCGTGTCTGACTCGAGGGGGGGAGGGTGGTGCTCATCTCCATTTCTAAGCCAAAGAGCCAGAGTTGTCCATAGACACCACCAAGGCCATGTGGCTGGCATTACTGCACGGAGCGCCGTTACCTTCCCACAGAAGCTGTACCTATTGATCTCACATTTGCATGTTTTAGATCTGCTTGGTTGGCAGAAGTTGCGCCTAACAGTGGGAGCACACTGTGCTCCCCGGATTCGAACCACCAACCTTTCGGTCAGCAAGTTCAGCAGCTCAGCGGTTTAACATGCTGCGCCACCAGAGGGTCCTGAATTAAATATAAAGAACATTAAAATATTCACAATTAAAAACCATTAAAACCTATTCAAAGTTATGGGAATAACGTGGGATTTTCTTGGCAAGATATGTTTAAAGGGGGTTTGCCTTTGCCTCTCTCTGTGGCCGAGACAATGTAACTTGCTCACAGTCACCCAGAGGGTTTCCATGACTGGGAAGGTATTTGGACCCTGGTCTCCCATGGTATAGTGAAGACTTCTAGCTCATATGCCCTCAATTCCAAATTATGGCAACCCTATCAACAGAGTTTTCAGATGAGGTTTGCTATTATTTTCCTCAAAGGCTGGGAGACTGTGGTTTGCCCAATGTCATTCAGCAATTTTCCACAGCTAAAATGGGATTTGGATCCTGTCTACCAGAGTTGTAGTCCTACATTCAAACCCCTACAGTAAAAAAAAGGAGTGATTTCCTCTATGCCTCACATAATAGAGTTCCTTTTCATAATCTCTCTGAAGAAATGAGGTGATTGTATGGGGGAGGAATAACAGTATGGAACTAATTCTTAATTGTGAATAGTTTAATTCCAAGATTATTGTTCACCTATTTATTTACTTTATTTAATTTGTTTTATACCTCTCCCTCTCCCTCTCATTGAGGGACTCAGAGCAGCTAAAAGTCTTCTGTATGTTGTTCTTTTAAAAAAAATGTAAGCCAACTTAAGTTCCAATTTTGGGGAAATGGCAATTTAATAATAATAATAATAATAATAATAATAATAATAATAATAATAATAATAACAACAGTTTTTATATTCCGCCCTTCTCACCCCGCAGGGGACTCAGGGCGGATTACAGGATGCACATATATGGTAAACATTAAATGCCAGTTTGACAGACAACGAATACAGACAATACACAGAGGCTATTTAACTTTTTTCTGGCCGCCAGGGGAGCTGCTGCTTTCATCGTCCACTAGCAACACCGATGAAGTACTTCCGCATTCCACATTCCCCGGAGTTTTCTTTATGGCCTCATAAATTAGTTAATTTAGCCTCCCACACAAGGTGGTGCCTTATTTTCCTACTTGACAGATGCAACTGTCTTTCGGGTTGCCAAGGTCGACAACAGGCTACACAATTGGTTGGAAACCCACTCCAACCCGGGCTGGCTTCGAACTCATGACCTTTTGGTCAGAGTGATCTTAATGCAGCTGACACTCAGCCAGCTGCGCCACAATCCCGGATAATTATAATTATCTAGTTACTGTGCCATACATATCTGCAACATGAAAAATGTATAAGGCAACCCTCAAGTATGCCTGATGGAAAGAACATAGAGAAAATTGGGTGGCTTTGTACAAAATGTCAGCTCTGGAAGGTTAGAGGGGAAATAGGCAGTGAGGAGATTTCATAATTAACACCAAGGAAACCAAGGAATCAAAAACACCAAAAAACCTGTTGTGTCTTGGTCTATTCATTCTAGGTCTAGACTTGACTCCACAATGATAAGTGAGATGAAAATGATAGAAGACAAACAGAATTTTTAAGAGGAGTTAAAATACAAAAAGAAACTAGCCATATGGCTAGTTTAACTGAGGATACTTGCATCTATGGCAAGTATCCTCAGAGGTAGTGAGGTCTGTAGACCTCACTACCTCTGAGGATGCTTGCCATAGATGCAGGCGAAACGTCAGGAAAAATGCCTCTAGAACATGGCCATATAGCCCGAAAAAACCCACAAGAACCTAGTGATTCCAGCCATGAAAGCCTTCAACAATACTAGCCATAATGTCTAATATTCTTTTCTGAACACTATGAAAGTTAATAGTATAATAACAAGAAGAGAAAATAAAATAATCACCTCTAATTTAGATATAATTTTTCATAGTGAGTTGAAAACATAATTATAATTGGATAATATTTAATACCAACTGGATTATATAGCAGTTGCAATGATGAAGAAACAAAATTAAAGAGGGTAGTACTAAAGCTACACTGGCTTCTAGCTTAAAGCAGACTGGTAGAAGGCAGGCGCCCTCTCTTTTGTCCTTCCGAAAAAGCCTCAAGACGTGGCTGTTCGAGAGGGCATTTAATTAAGTGCTATAGTAATGTGGTAAAGACGACTGGAATGGTACAAGGAATACGAGATTGGTCACGATTCTATTACGAGACGAAGCGGATTAGTTAGTGTAATTTTAACTGTTGTATTGTTGTATGGTTAATATGCTGTTGTACTTGTCTTTGTGTGAATTGCCTTTTGTACTGTACACCGCCGTGAGTCGCCCGAGTGGGCTGAGAATGGCGGTTAATAAATGCTCCAAATAAATAAATAAATAAATAAGTCCAATCCAAAGAAAACAGCTCATATGTTTCACTGAACCAATTACTAATTCATGTCTCCAAGGAAACTGTAACCAAGGAACTAAAAAGATGATTAAAAAGAAGAGCTGGGAAAGATAATATACTAAAAAGCAAAATGAGTCAAATCTCTATCTTAATTCAAAGACTGATATCATATCAGGAGCCCATCTGACCCATAAATAAGCTGAGGATCAATCTGCAGAGAGGGAAAGGGCCATTTCTACCTCAGTGGGCCTGTCACCCTGGACACTGTTGCCATTTCCCCTCCCAAGCATTCAAAAATGGCAAGAAACGAGGGTGAGGGCTTGTTCTGGATTTTTCCAGAACAGTCTAAGCTTTTTGCCTTTTACCATTCTACTAAGATATGGGGAGGGTTCCTCTTTTGACAAGAGTGAAGGTCCAGTACTAAAACTAACCTGTGGATAAATCGATACAGGTTTATTTGTTTTCATTAGAATTTCTAGAGTAGGGGCAGTTCCCAAGTTACAACCATCCAACCCACAAATGACTCATAGTGAAGAACAAGGGTGAGACAACAAAAGGTGAGACAAATCTATCCCTAGGAAGGTAAATTTTCTTCTGGAAGAGTTATCATGGGGAAAAGGGGTCTCTGCCAAAGCTTTATCAACAATCTTTGTTTCTACAACAAGCCAAAATGTTCAAAATCCAATTATCACAGGACAGAAGGTGAGGTGGAATCATCTCACCAACACCACAGTGATGTTGACTTTTCACTATGAGACCCAAAGCTTTAAAAGGTATAATTTTGGCTGGAGTTGCACTTAAAAATGTACCTGTTTCAAATTACATACAAATTTAGCTTAAGAACAAACCTACAGAAACTATCTTGTTCATAACTTGGGGGTTGCCTGTATATAAGGTTTCTTTTATATGTGTACATTTTCAAATTATTTGTTCTCCTACCAGTTTAATACAATACACCTCTAGGCATGGGTTGCATTACAGTACTGTATAGATGGCTGGGAGTAGTTTAGATGCTACTGTTTGGGGCTACAGGGACCAAACGGGTAATTAATATTTCTAGTGACCATTGGGAGTTTTCAGACATTTAGAAGGAGCATCCTGATGAAAAGCTTATGAGATTTTTGGAATAGAAGAAAATGCTTGTCTACCTTTACCTGTCTCCTAAAATATAAAAATACCATGGAGTGTATTATTGGGTGCATTTTCATAATATGTAATGTATTTGTTTGGCACAAAGATATGGCTAGTAACTAAACTCAATCAAGGTATATCATGATAGACATAGAGGATTGTTATTCAACCTAACTCTTAACAACATGAGAGGCATCACAGAAATTACATTCATGAACAAAGGTCAAGCTGTCCTCAGTAAAGCCAAATAACTTGACACCCAAATATACCAAACACAACAGAAACTAGGAAGAGGCTAATGTGTAAGCAACATTGCCAGTCTGGGTCTGGCAATGAATCATAGAATCATTGTGCCATTACGCCCAGACGCTTTATAAAACAAACTCTGATGTGCTGCTATCTATGTCTGGGCGAAACTGCTGGGGTCTTTCTTTAGAAGATTGAGCTTTCTTGAATAACTGAGACCACTTCAAGATTAAACATTAAACAGGGTATTTATTAACAAAGTCCTTGTAGACTTGGCTCAGCTTATTAATGTTACCAAACAATCAATGAATAATAAATTGCATCTATATAATAATAAACTCTATCTATATTCAGTTAAACTCAATTACTCTATCTATATCTATCTATCTATCTATCTATCTATCTATCTATCTATCTATCTATAGGTCTCAATTAAACTAAATTAATCTATTATACTAAATTACTCAATAAATCTATCTATAACTAAATTAAACTCAATTGTTTTTGCGATGGTATTTTCGGAGGTACCTGTCTGCCAATAGCACATCAAGGATTCTTCCTTAAGACTGAAGGGGCAGGGAGACCTCCAAAATGGCTGCTTCTACCCTGGAAACAGGGGCAGGCCCAAAGAGCTACTCTTTGGCCAATCATTGCAGAGGGCCTGCAAACTGGCTTTCCTGCTTCTGGCTGCTAACCTTTTAGGCCTTGCAGAGGCTGCAGCAGCCTGGGAGAAACACAAGGAGAGGCTGTTTCCAGCAACTAAAAGGTAATGCAAAACCCAGTCTCCTGGGAGACGGAACAATCATAATGATTTCTTTTCTTTCTCACTTGGTCAGTTCTGTGAACAACTAGGGTCAAGAGTTACCATTTTTGTGCCCAGAACTCAGTGGGACTTATTCCCAGGTAAGTGTGGATAGGACTGTAGTACAAAGTTTAATATGGGTTATCTTCAATTTTTTTAAAAAATCCTTTGCACATTTATTGGCAAAAGGAATATACGGGGGAACTTTGTGATTCGTCTTCTACATCACAGCAATAAATTACATTAAATAAGTAAATTAAATTGCAAGTGAAGATAATATGTATATGCTGAAGTTTTGCTTGCCAGAAAGCTGAGATTAGAATCACAATAAATAAATAAAAAGACCACAAGCATTACTATACCTGACCACAGAATAATCCACCATGATAAAAACATAATCCAATTGGAGTAATGATGGACTTCTAAGAAGAAACAGAACACCAACCTTACCTTGAGAGGCAGCTAAAAGACAAAGGCATCTTCTGCAATGCTGACGACTGTTAGGTATGTGAGGATAAGAAGGCTTTTTAGGAGCTTCCAGGACCCTTGTAGTTGGCCAGTGTTGCTTGACTGGCCTGTTGGCTTTAAGCAGAGTATGTCTTTGTCGATAACTCCCTCTATAGCTGTAACACATAAGAGACACATTCATGTCTGTGGCATGATACTTGACCTCCTTCAAATGTCCATGAACATTTCATAAAGAAAAGAATGCCATAATATTGTCTCCTCGTAGTATGACTAACAGAAGAATCTACTGGCTTTTTCATGTTTAAACAAAATTGTCATTCAAAAATGAAATGGTTTTCATTAACTCAATGAAAGTTTAAAAATAATAAGTAGGTAAAAATAGAAAGGCAAGACATTGACAAAAATTTCTGTAATTTTTTAACACCCATTTAAAATACAACTAGATACATTTTCATCCAGTAGCTATATTATATTGTTATTTATAACCTTTTCATAGGTCTACTGTTACACAGTATCACTGCAGTGATGTCCTTTTTAGCATTTTGGTGGGCTTGTTTTCAACTTCTGCCTTTCATAATGGCTTCATAAAAAAAGTAAAACACTCATATTTCACATTTTTATTTAACTGTACAGGAAAGCAATAATAAATTATGCCAATACAATATCCCAAATCAGTATTACAAGAGGAAGTGAAGTGTCCCATGTATTGTCGAAGGCTTTCTTGGCCGGAATCACTGGGTTGTTGTAAGTTTTCCGGGTTTTTTGACTGTGTTCCACAACCATTCTCTCCTGATGTTTCCTCTGCATCTATGGCAGGCATCCTCCAAGGTGGTAAGAAAACTCACAACAACCCAAAGAGTCCCATACTGATCTACCCTGTTCCAGTTCAAGCCCTTGGGACACCAGTTTGTGAAGGGGAAAACCCTTGCATTCAAAAGCAGAAGTACAGAGTTAAAGTTCCTCTGCAGATGGCCTGTGAAATATGCCAGTAATAAAATGTCAAAATAGTAAAATATAATAAATGAAATCTGTTTTCCAAATACTTGTGTGTGTAATTAAAATATACAAGTCAGGCATAGCCAGATCAAAACGTATTTTGATGCCATTTTCAAAAGTGCAAATGTTGTCTTCTCAATTTTTAAAACTCATTTAATCTATGGATGAACAGATCTATCAAGCCTGTTTTCACTAGAGCTCTTCTTTTTCTTGATTTTATACAAGTTTCCCACATACAAACACAGAAATCATATTTTTGTATATTTTTCAAAATGTACATTTTCAGTTGTCCAGTCTATCCATTACTACACAATCTTTGTGCATTTCATATAAATGTGTGCATGTTGCCAAGTGCTCCTCCTAAATGATCAACAGCATTTTGCATTAAAAAGAAACTGTCAGGAATGAAATTATCACACATCATAATTTATTCTGCATTGTTTAACAATATTGCGACAAAATGCTGAAATTCAAAAGTGGTTCTGGAGTGGAGCTATGCTTGCAAATTTAACATATATCTAGTATATATATTTATCCCAAAACAAATGCTGCTTAATTGGATCATGCTGCAGTGAATTTCCCTGTGCTGAAGATCTGGCCTCAACACACATTTTCCTTAATTTTTGTAGATACATCTTTTGTTCAATTTAAACTATCTAGAAATGTTATGTGTCACACCTGCCAAATTCTTACATGGATTTAGCTGCTCTAAAATAACAACTCATATTCCACAAGGGAAGCCACATACATGTGTTCTAAGTCAAAATGCGGTTCTATTGTTTCTTTCTCCAAACCTTCAGCTTGATATAATCTGTTTTGTCTGGTTTCAGTGAGAAATGCTCAAAACGCAAAGGTTTTATCCAAAAATCAGTTGGTTTAATAACATTCTTGGAGATTTGTGCATTCTTACAACGATGACTCAGATGGTACTACAAACAAGAGGCTTCAGAATTACATCCATGTTCAGTGAGATGTGTATCAATGCACCTTTTATGTGAATTATAAAGGTTAAAGAAACATTGTGAGACATTAACATGGTACTCTATCAAATATCATTACTTATAAAAAAAATTGACAATACATGAAGAGACAAGATTAATTCTTCTTCCATTTCCTTTAGTATCTATTCTCTCTTCTCCCGTGCCTGGTGGCCATCTCTCTCCCTCTCCCCCCCCCCCATCCCCTTCATGAAAAAAGCAAATTTGAATAATCAATATACTTTAAGGTTTTGAGATTTTAGTGAAGACCGTTAATTTCATTTTTACTATTATTACAGCAACTCAGCAATAACCAATGTGAACACAGTCACAGCTACCTTTTGAGACAAAAGACTCACAACATGAGAATTCCTTTCTCATACCACATAGCTGCTAGTGCTAGGTAAAGGTAAAGGTTTTCCTCTGACACTAAGTCCGGTCGTGTCCAACTCTGGGGGTTGGCGTTCACCTCCATTTCTAAACCAAAGAGCCAGCGTTGTCTGTGGATATCTCCAAGGTCATGTGGACGGCATGACTACATAGAGCACTGTTACCTTCCCACCGGAGCAATACCTATTGATCTACTCACATTTGCATGTTTTCAAGCCGCTAGGTTGGCAAAAGCTGGGACTAACAGTGGGAGTTCACGCTGCTCTCTGGATTTGAACCTGTGACCTTTCAATCAGCAAGTTCAGCAGTTCAATGCTTAACCCACTGCTAGTGCTACACCCATAGAAAACTCTCATGTTTCTTACCGTTTTGGGATGATCTTCACCTTTCTCCGTTTATGGCTTTTCTTTGCTTTATGTGCTGTGAGCTCTCTCATTTTATGAAGCTTATCTTTTGCCCTTTCTTGCTCTGGAATGCTTTTGAATAACCCATCAACTCCAGGTGTAGAAAAGTACTGCTGTGAACATCAAACATAATAAATGTTTAAGTGACATGTTGAATATATGTTCTGAACATATCATCATGTTCTGTTTGTTTTGTTCATTTGTTAATTCTTTTGGAGTTCTTGTGTTTATAGGAAACAAAGCATACATGTAATGAAATAACATGAATACAGTTCTCGCCTTCAAAACCATGAAATTGTGAAATATTTCACTCTTCCCAAATCTCTGTTTATTATATAATTCCCTCCTGTGGGAAGAGGCCTGCCTGGCACCAACATTGTTGATCTTTTCTTATTCCAGCAAACAATATTTTTCTCCCATGCCTTTTTCTTTAATATGCTATATTCTACACCTTGTTGACAGGAAGCTACCCACTGGGGTGGAAATCACATATCAGACAGATGCCAAGCTCTTTAACCTCAGCAGGCTGAAAGCCAAGAGTAAGGTCACAACACCTTCTGTTACAGAACTCCAATATGCTCATGATAATGTAGTCTGTGCTAATTTAGAGGAAGACCTACAAGCCACTTTAAACAACTTTGCAGAGCATATGAAAAGCTTTGTCTCTCAGTGAGCATCAGCAGGCACCATCCAATCCCTATGCAATGCCAGAAAGAAAGCTTAATGCTGTACTGCTAGAAAATGTTGGCCATTTCTGCTACTTAGATAGTCACTTCTCCACAAAAGTCAACATCAACACCAAAATACAACATGCTCTGCGAGCACAGCATTATTTCAAATGAGAGAGAAGTGAAGATAAATGCAATAATACTGAGACTTCCTAATGATCCTACCATAATGGTGAATGAATAGGAACTGGTTTCTGCAGGAATACACAACTCATATTCATGCAGGGCCACTGTGACCACCAAAATGCAGCTCTAAGAGCTTTCAAAGATCTATATGGAGGCACAGAATGGGCCATATGTGTGAACCACAGGAGACCGTAAAGAAGATTTCAATTCTACAAATTTATCCCAAAACAAATGTGACACTACAAGGAATTTTGCTGGAACAAACTAACCCGCTTAACCTTTGAAAATCTGAAATCGTGTGTCAATACACTGAAGACAGGATGTGTGAAATAGAACTGACCACATAATAAATCCACAAGATAGTGATTGCAATTCTATAGTTCAATCATCTGATTTTATCTATCAACTGTAAGAGATGGCTATGAATACTCAGAATATGAACTTATTACAAGATGTTAGTATTACTACTAAAATATGTAATATCCACATGTATTCACCTTCATTCTCCCATTTTCTTCTATATGAAATGCTACAACTAAATACTGAAATAGGAAGATAATACTACCTGCTGTTTTGGAGAAATGGAAGAGGTTGCCGTTAGGGGCATTCCACTTATCGTGCCTGCAGCAGGAGCCTTCTTGGTATTTTTCATCTTGTAAGAGAAGTGGTTACACTTTGAAATTAAGTTTTCATTCATACAGGTGTGCAAGGATGAATATGCAGAATCTCTCTTCTCCTTCTGTTCAACGGGAAGAGGAAGGTTCCTGCTTAAGCAACACCAAGTCAATTGCGGTTCAGCATTTAAAGTTGGGAAGGATACATCCTTGATTGGAACTTTTGAGTTCCCTGCATGATAACTTAATTGAGGTAATATACGGACTTCTTTTTGTTGGGCACGGAGCATGTGGCAATAAAGCATATCAGAAGAATGGGAAAGGCATTTGGGTATATCCGTGGAACAGGTAGGAAGATCTTGAAATCCTGGAAAAGAGTTAATATCTGATTGCCATTCCTCAATCTTTTCATTCGTATTTCCACAGAAAACGGTCCTTTCAACCAATGATGAAACTGATATTACAGAACTGTTCCCTGAGTGTACAAACTGTAGAGCTGAACTCTGTCCAGTAATGTCTGAAGATATGAAAAAACCTCCTGTGTACATAGTTGTAAAACATATTTTCTTTCCTGGAGTATGTGATGTACAAACAATTGTGTGCATACTACCCTCCTGTGTCAACTCCTGAGCACCTAAATTATCTCTGTTATTATTGGGTCCTTTCCACATATCTTTCATTTTCTCCTTCTGCCTGACCCTTTGAAGATGGCATTTTCTGTTTGCCCTGGTTGTAATGCTAGTTGTTTCTAGGATAGTTGTTGGGCACAAAAATACATCTGTAGGTTTGGAGCCAAGTGATCTATTGCTACTGGCAAAAATGGAAGGAGCAGATGAAATACAGGGCATATTCTCAGGCTCTCCTGAAAGAATCAGTGGCAGTCCTGTAGTCTTCCCTTGTGAATATTTTAGGATGTACTTTGGCAGAAAATCATTTTTCTTTAAATTGGGATTTATTTGATCAAATATTAAATGCTGACTGGGGATGGGTGCACATGCAATATCTCCAATCTCTGATGCTTCTGTCCTTGATATTACAGGTTGTGGCTTGTTTTTCAGCTTTTGTATAGCAAACAAATCATAAGTGTATCCCGTTTTTACCTCAGTCCCTACATTCCTTGTATCAGTAAGATTAGGAACATCATCTTGTTCTTCAGAGGTCATTATCGGACACTGAACTAATTCTTTACATTCCATGTTGCTGCTACCTGATGTACTTAATCCTCCCATTGCCACCTGTCTTTCTTCTTTAACCGAGTGATTTATTGATTCAGAGGCAACTGTGTTAACAGTTTTGTAATGGTCTGTCAGTTCTACAATTCCCTCCACTAAACTACTGGACTCATGAGTGGATTTTAGCACATTTTCTTCCCTTCTCAGTTTATCTACTTTTAGCTTTTTTCTCTCTGAGGGCAGCTTTGACAGTTCCTGAGTTGGTTCACTACTGTTGCAATCTTTGGGGAGGAAAGCCCCCTGTTCAAGTTGAAAGCTTTCTTGTTCACTGAGATCTTGGGCAGCTGGAATATCCTCCTGTACCGACACACATTTAATAAGCTCCCCTTGGGCACATACATCCTCTAAGCCGGTATCCTGCAGGCTAGCAATGTTTAAGGAGCTGCTGTTCTCTTCTTGATCAGTAGTCTGCTGAAGCTGGAAATTCAGTTCACAACCAGTACTAAAAGGCAGGACTTCACCATTGCCATTTGAGTCTTGTTTTGAAACACACAGTCCTCTACAGCTGTTTTCAACAAATGTTTTAGACAACTCACTTTGTTCACAATCACTGACTGCAAAGCTACCTAAACTCTGTGAGGAACCACACTGTGATGGAGGACTAGTAATGGAATAGCCTTCCAACTCTTCAGTATTTTGTTTCGCAGAAACAGCCACTGAGGATGAAACCAGCTCCTCTGTATTAAGTTTTGCAGAAAAGGTCACTGGGGAGCAGCCCAGATTACCAGTTCTGAAGACTTTGCCATCTTTTGGGATTCCATCATGACTAGCTGTGCCCTTAGTACCCAAATGGCAACTAGAAATATCTGTGATCTTGTTTTCTTTTTGTTTCTTGGTGGTTTGGTTGCTCTTCATTTTCTGATAAATTTTCTTAAATGTTTCATTCCCATAAACCTGCCATTTTTCCTGAGTGAACATTTTTGCTTTTCTTTGACTCAGTTTCTTATGTTTTGTGGTTGTTCCTTCCCCTTCAAGTCCAGACTTTTTAGTTCCTTTCACCTCTTCCAAAGAGGTTGAAGATTCACTTGTGGTACTTGGTGGCAAATCATCTACTGCTGCTTGTCTAACAAGTGCCCGAGGATGGCTGTTAGGAAAATCTGCCATACTTGCAGATTTCTCTTTGCTAGGCAACAAAGCAGAACTTGTGTCAGGGGGCATTTTAGCAAAAGAGGGGACTTTTGAAATATCCACTTGGTCTTGAATTCTTCTTGTACTCTCAATAAAAGGCATGGAGTTACTTCTGCTAACAGGAACATAGTCGATTGTTGTTGAGAACTGAGTGGGAACAGAATGAAAAAACAATGGCTTAGATTTTTCAACAGGTGTGAAGATAGATTTGGCTGAGCATTGAGAAAGCTTCTTCCTGCTTGAATCAAGAGGACGTATGTCAAAATGGAATGAGTCTTTGTATGTATAAGGCATTGGCAAGTCAATGCTGCCCTGCTTGGACAGGACTGTTTTCCTGGGTCTAACATTGTCCAATTGTGTATTATCCACCACAGCTTTATTTTGAGAGATTAGCTTTGAGATATGTTCTTCCAACTTCTTTTTCTCTAATGTTAAACCTCCTGTTGATTTCTCAGCAGAATCTGCTTTTGACACATTTCCTGCTGTACACCTCACACTGGTAATGGTTGTATCGCTTTCTGACTCAGTATTGTGTTCACAGAGACTATGGAGAGAGTTGGGGGACAACATCATCTGCTCCACACTATCAGAGCGAGACAGATACCCTGAGTCGGTGCTTTCACATTTTTTCAGCTTGTAATCTGGAGATCTGCCTTCCCATAGCTTCTCCGTATATGTGGCCTGCTGCCTCTGCAACTGGCTGTGCTTAGCTGCAGTTTGACACCTTTGCTCCTGAAGCTTCCTTTTCTGAAGAGGAGTTGCTGGATCTTTCATGATCTCTTTCTCAAGGACACTCTGACTGACTCTTCCATGGCAGTTGTCCACTGTAGTCCACTGACTTTCAGATACAACAAATAAACCATTAATAGCTTGTGATGAAGTATCAAGAGGATCATTCTCACTGGTTACTATAGCAGTTGAGTCTGAAGCAGACTGTGTAATCACTGTTCTTGTGTTGTCGCTGTTTCTATCACTTGGTTTTGTTTTATGGGGAGATCCAATGGTCTCATGGAATTTCTCATGCTCTCCTAATGGACTACTGCTTTCAGACTCTGATGGTAGTCTGGCATTGTTGACATGTATTTGAGTTCTCCTGTGTTTATACAGGTTGCTTTGAGTTTTAAATGCAATGCCACATATTGTACATGGGAAAGGCCTCTCACCTGTGTGAGAGCGGACATGTTTTTCAAGAACACTTGGCTTCAGGCAATCACGTCCGCAGTGTTTACAGAGGTACTTCCCAGCATTTTTGCATTTCCCTGGGCTTCCAATCGGTGAACATGGAGAATAATTATGTGCCAAAACTGGTAAGCCACTAACTATTTTTATTGTTTCAGGTTGCTTCTGAATGCCTGTCTGAAGATGATCTGTTCCATCTGAATGCAAAAGTGGATTTAGAATTAATGGTATATTACTACTGTCTAAAGTGATACTGCTTTGGCCCGCAAGTAGCTTATGGCTAGGCTGAAGGCCTTCTGATTGGATAGGCTGATAAAGTGGTATTGTAAGAGCTTTCACATATATAGTCTGAGAGAGGGCTTGCTCAGGCTGAAGAATTATTGGACTAACTGACAAACTTGATGCTGTGCGTATGGCTTGAAAACAAGAAGCAGGCTGGTCTGGTTGTTCATCTATTGAAGTAGGAGGACAAGAAAGACTCTGTGCTTCCATTCCTTTCATGTTCTCCAACAATTTATTGGCAGTTATCTGTGGGGAAAATACAGTGAAGCAGTTATATTTGAAATGAACACACTTTTGCATTTTCAGTAGCAAATACGCAGTATAATTATGAAGGTCACCTGTGTGGCTATATAAGTATTAAGACATAACCACACATTTTAATGAACAATTATCTTCCTAGAAAATAACTACAGGCTATCTTGAACATATGTTTTATATTTTCTTAATTATTCACATTTTTATGCTGAAGTCTCCCACATGTAAAAAATAGAGGTAAAATGTCATAAATTTGTAATAGAAAAGCTTCTTGTCTGAAAGCAGATCCATGGCTCTTTACTTACATACTGTAAAATCATATCAATCTACAACAGACGTATTCAAGAATAAATAACTGACAGACAATACAACATAAAAGAACGCAATTCAGATATTTTTTGAAACTTTTGGGTTGAGTGAAGGTATCCCTTATGTCCTGCAACTAATACAAATCAAGCATTCATTAGCCTAAATCAGACCAAAACCTAGCTAATCCAATCCATTATATGACAAGCTCCTCAGAAGGACAGAAATATAAATGTGCCCTGCATCTTGTAATACCTAGAAATTGATATACAGAACCATGCTCCTCCAATAATGGAAGCAATACAGTATAGTCATTCAGACTTGTCACCTTTGATGGACTAAAATGTACTCAGTTTTCAATAGCCATCTAAGCTGAAAGCCATAACTACATCACGTTGCAATGAATTACAATTTGCATTTTATGAGAAAATATTTTATTGTATCTGTCCTTCCATCTCTTACTATATGGCTTCAGTTTATGCTTTTCATAAACTTTATGTCTCCTTTTTCTAATCACCACATAACACTTTTATTGCAAGAAAGGGGACCCAAAGACTCTTTTCTGCACTTTTTTTCAGTTCTGCAATATCTTTTCTGTGATGTGGTGGCCACAAATGTATATAGTCTACATATATCCACACCATAGATTTGTACAATTAGTACAAATTATACCAAATGTACATCACTTCAGATGGAACACATGAATTAGTATAAAAATTGTTTAACATTTTTGATTAGCACAAAGACCTAAATTTTTGAAGGCACCAGATCCTGTCTAACTTTAGAAGCTAAATAGGGTCGGTCCAGGTTAGGACACAGTTAGGACACAGAATTAAGATTGCTGCACACTGCACACTGCACTTACCCTATAATCCTTACATATCACCTGTCACATCAGCACATTTAATCCTGTACCCATTACTCTGGCCCGGCCCAGTTTTATTGTGTCTTGATGTATTGTTTATTGCTTGTTGTTTAATATTGCTTTAATTGTTTTTAATTTGCTTTAGGTTTTGTATTGTTATATTGTGTTTTTAGGCCTTGGCCTTTGTAAGCCGCATTGAGTCCTTCGGGAAATGCTAGTGGGGTACAAATAAAGCTAATAATAATAATAATAAGTTGGAAGAGACCACAAGATTGCCCTCGTCACACTTCACACTTGTAGAAGTTGTCTCAATGACTGCAATGTAAGGACTGGATGCTGGACTTTGGGAATACCTGTCATATACAAACATGATGTACAAATGTTTCTTCCCCCCGCCCCCCGCCCCCCCAAAAAAAACCCAAACAGCTATATGGAAAGACACAATAATTCTTCATGTGAGACAACTTCAAATTTGTATTTCTGTAGACTTTCTTCAAGTTAACATCTCCTGAAAATGCACTTTTGATTTTCTGTATACATTTCAGATTTCAATATTAATGTCAAAAATATGTAATATGACTTTACATCAGATTTGTGCTACATTCATTGTCAATGCATCAATAACCAAAGACTATATTCAATATCTTTGTATTTTTATTTAAAATCCTGTACTTTAACTTGACATTATCATCAGAGGTTAATCCTAAATACCAATTAGCATCTGCTAATAGTGTCAAATTAAAATACAGGTTCTTCAAGTGGCCATCTGTGCCCTTACACAAATAATTTGAGGGCACAGAACCTCACTTATATAAACAGCCTATTCTTCATAGAAAACACTATTATTCATCAGTTTGTGTGAGGCGGAGACAATTGAGAAGGAGAATATATCTAGGACACAGACCCCAACAAACTGTGGCAGGCAGCTGTTTTGTATGCATGTTGTCATTCCAGCAAACCCATGCAACCCTGTAATTCAACAAAAAACATAGAAAGTAAAGCACATGAAAAGGGGAGAAATAATGAAGCTCCTATTAACAGATGCCATCACTTAATGATATAATGTACTGAAAATGTCAAGACATTTTGCTGTGGTCACCCAACCTCAAAGCATTTATACAAGACCATGGGGTCAGAGTTTTAACAAAAGAGGCTTTTAGTAAATGCTGAACTAAATGGTGACACATATGGCACGAAACAACTGAAGCAGAAGTTCAGCATTCTGGAAAAAAAAACCACCTGATTTTATCTTGGTTTGTGGCATCCGGTGTTTTTAAATATTTCAGTCTGAATTCGATGCTGTGTATTTTTTGAATACTTTTCTGCAAGAGACACGTGTTATTTTTGCAAAATGGCTGTTTTGAAGATTTTACAGGGTTTGTATGTAGTTTTTAATTCATTTTAATATTTTAATGTTTTGATTTCCAAATTGTTAAATCTTATATTTACCCTATATACTCATGTATAAGTCTAGAAATTTTAATCAAAAAGTCAACTTGAAAACCCTGGGTCAACTTATTCATTGGTCTATGTGAGTACCGTACCTTAACCCTCTTTTTTTAAAAGGAACCATTTCAGAGCAGCAAAAGGCAAGAATGTAATACTGTCACAGGAGAATCTAAAAGAAGCACTGACTCCCTCTAACTCTCTCTGTCATAACATCACTTCTGGCCTTTTTTGAATGCCTGGGTTGATAAATGATAGCCAGGGGTGGCAGGCCCAAGATGACACTGATGCTTTTTTTAGGCCTCAACTTATCCATGGGTCATATAAAAATCTGTAAGACCAACCATCCCAACGCTGCCCTCAATCTATACATGAAGCTGACTTTATACATGAGTACCTATAGTATACTTTTATTCTAGTGTTTATATTGTTTATAACTTGGATGGTTTCTAATGTATTGTTAGCGTCTGAAGAGATATTGACAAACTGGAAGGTGTTCAGAGGAGGGCAACTAAAATGATCAAAGGTCTGGAGATCATGCCCTATGAGGAGCGCCTTAAAGAGCTGGGTATGGTAGTCTGCAGAAGTGGTGGTTAAAAGGAGACATTTATTTAGCATATTTATATCCCACCCTTCTCAACCCCGAGGAGATATCAAGACATGATAGTCACATATAAATATCACAAGGAAGTGGGAGCAGACTTGTTTTCTGCTACCCTGGAAACTAGGACTCGGAGCAATGTGTTCAAATTACAGGAAAGGAGATTCCACCTGAACGTTGGGAAGAACTTCCTGACTGTAAGATCTGTTCATCAGTAGAACTCTCTGCTGTGGAGTGTGGTGGAAGCTATTTTTTCGGAGGCCTTTAAACAGAGGCTGGATAGCCATGTACCAGGGGTATTTCGAGTGTTTTTTTCCTGCATGGCAGGGGTTGGACTAGATGGCCCATATGGTCTCTTCCATCTCTATTATTCTATTATTCTAGAGCCTCATTGCTTATTTAAATGAATAAAATACATAAAAATGTGGCCTGAACTACCCCTGCAGCAGAATGAGACAATCCACTGTACAGTTGCTGATGGGACATTCTATTTTAAATGCTCAAAGCAAACAAAATGCCCAACCCACCCACCCCACAACAATCATTGAAGCTGTCTGCTTGTGTACAGCTCACACAAGGTTCGCCTTACATACTTTAGGGAGGCTATATAATTTTCTATACATTTGGTGTAGTACTACCCCTTCATACTCACTGCTTCGAATTGTTCTTCTTGGTACTTCATTCTCTTAATTTCCTTCCCCCATTAATCTGCTGTTAAGTAACAATTTGGAAAACACTTATATGTGGATTTTTTAATTAAAGCATGGGTGGAGGGGTGAAGAAAAGGAAAGACTTCCTGCTGAGAACTGAACGTTGTTTTTGGTCCATTCGTCCTTGTGGTTTTTCTCATCTATCAACCATTCCTGTTTTATTTATTTTTTTCCCCAAGCAAATGGCACCACTAAGCAACAAATGAGTCAAGATCATGTTCCATCTGTTCTTGTAGCCATGTTGTGGTTTGTTCTGCTATCCCAAATTTAACTGACAAAATCAACAGCTTTGTTCTATGCCAAGACTAATTTATCTGGAAACATCAGAAAAATCTTACATTTGCACTTCAGAGTATAGTGTAATAAGGCAGAATATTGTTTCAGGATGGGAGTATCCAGCCTTTGGTTAGAGAACAAACAACATTTTGGAAAGCCCTCATCTACATTTGCACTTGTCAGGTCTTGGAAACTGGACTTGAAAAGGTAAATCCTTATTTATAAACATAACTGGCACCAGGTTTTTATTTGTGGAATTAGACTTGGGAAGAATGGGGTCCAGGTCTTCATTTTGTTCTGAAGTGATCAGCGATCTTGAAACACATACTAACAAGCTCACAAAATTATGAGGTTCACTCTTGGTTCCAAGCTTTGCTCCCAAAGCAATATGGATAAAACATGTTTACAGCCAGTCTTAATAGAAGTATTACTCACTTTACTCATAATGTTTCACTTAAATTGCAAATCTACAGCACTCAATTTTTCAGTTAGGCAAAATGTGTATAAAGACCATGCAGTGTACCAAACAACTCATTGTCAAACTGGACACTACATAAAGCAAGAGTACAAGAAAAATAGGGGAAAATAAATAGAGCACAACGAAATTGGCTTCATGTTCCTCTCATAAGGCTTGCATCTGGAGACTGGACTGGATACATCTTCTGAAATGCTGGTTCAATTTTTTAGGAGGTGTCTTAAGTAGCAACAATGAGAAATTTACTTTAAATTCATATTTATTTATTATGTAAATATTATATAAACTACTGTTTTAAACGAGGGGCTATAC